CCGCATAACTTTCTCTCGATCACCGAAGAGCTGAATGCTCTGGACTGGAGAGAGAACTACAGAGACTTGCTGCCCGGGTCATGTATCATGGGCTGGTATGCATTCTCTGGTGGTTGTAGCGCGTAGAACAGTGCGCGGGCCTTGAAGCTAAGATGCTTCGGATAAATACCGAAGGAGTTGTAAGCAAGGTGTGCCCGCTCACAGACCAACTAGGAGGCCAGTTAAACCAATTAATTGTACAACAACTCCAAATCATTTTAAAGTAGTTCTGAAACAAACCGAAAATTGGTACGCTTTATAACCAGTGTGTGACTTGTTCATCTTGAACGAGTATCATGAAACGTAGTCGATTTTTAGGTATAGGGGAATAGTTTTTTCTAACTATCAGATCAAAAGAAAACCGATTAAAAAATTCATAATTTGGCGTGAAAAACCCTAAGGGACATAAGCTGTAAGCTAGGTGATCCGCTGGTCACCGGTGCTTGATCGTGCGTTCAACTGGTTGGTCCATTGTTTGTGTGATTGATCAGCAGTGACGAACAGTTCAGAACGCACTGAAGGCCGTAAAAAAAAATAGTCCAGTTCTTAGATAACATTTCACATTCACGTTTTCCTCACCCAATACACTATCTGTGTACCTGTGTTCTCTTTTCGATCCGAAAATTTGAATTTCTCAGCCCATCAAAGTGTCATCCTGGTTTCAAATCAATATTGATTCGTATGTGATCAGTTCCGTGAAACTACGGCGTGCAGTACGACATCAGATTTGCTATTTACACTGCACACAATGGATAAGTGAACAGCGTGTTCTACAGTGACTGTCGGATGGTATTCGTCTTTCTCACCACTGCATCCGGAATGATTTTGCATTATTCATTTTGCCAATCTCAAATCCATCTGCAGATGATGGTACGTGGCGTGGTGTACGCGTTAATTTTAGATCACAGAAACTGTTACCCCCCCCACACACACACACACACACCTCCGTCCCGCCCATTTCAGTTGGTCGCTGCTCTCAGTCCACTCGGGATGGGCTCACGCATACATGGATCACAGAAGTAGGTTACATACATCCAAGCGATTCTATTGAGCAGGAATTCAGGTTTACATCTTCCCAAATAGGATTTGTCAGGCGATTCGGATTCAATGATCGCATTGTGAAATCGGTTACGAATGTATATCGTTTAGCTAATCTACAATAAGGATAGCAAACTCACTGACTCACTGAGTAATTTTCATTGCGGAACTCAATTGGTGAGTGCACAGAATGGAACAGAATTGTGTGGAAATAAAGGTAGTTGGGTAGGATAGCAACAGTGACATGTTGTATGCCACACAGAAACATCCAGCACTATCGCCCAGAACAGAACGGTAGATGCACAGACTCACTGATTGTATTTTCCGTGTTTCTTCCACCTCTTGATCTTTCTCGTGAAGTCTTGTAAACTTTTTCACTGTCTTCTGATACAGCTTGTCGAGCACGTGATACTAGTTGAGAGTGATTTTTAAAAAAACAGATGGGAAAAATGGATTGAACGAGATGAGTTAGACGTTGTTGGAGACAAAGAACTCATATTGTGATAATGAAACTTTCAGAGTATTGTACTACTTCCTGTGTGGAATTTGTCGAGAGGATTCTCACAGATCCCGGCCACCGTTGTTGCACGCAGAACTGACACACACTTTCGTTCCCGTCCGTCCACACGCCCCCCCCCCATTCCGTGAAGTGAACTTTATCTTAACCTTGGACTATAAAATGTCGCTATGCTCTCTGTGAACAGTTTCTCCCCGTTGGATATGTTCTTTATGACCGTTGATATGTGTATAGTTTTTAAGCAGAAATGTAAGCTTCAATGCGTGCAAAAGTAATGTACAATACAACAGCAACAGGTGGCACTTGTGTGCGCGTATGTGACGAGCGTGAGGGAATCGGTACTAAAAAAAACATGAGGCAGTTGAATCATAACTTCACAATTTCACTTTGAAGTTGCTAACAGTAAAACGGGGTACTCCGAGTTCACGTGATCCATTGAAAACCTGACATTTGACATGAAAAAAAGTATTTCATGATAACGCGAAAATTTGATTTTCACACAGAAAATTTGCAGAGAGATGATTGGGAAAGATTGGTTGACTGTTTAACAAATTTCGACAGCATTTCACTCTTCTTCGTTCCCCGAACGCATTGCCACGGATTGCTTACTTTGTCCTCCCAATACGTTTCTAACTGATCAAGTTCTTCCTTGTGTGCCAGAAACCATCGCTCTCGTTCTTGTTTGATTTCCGTTTGCCATTGCATCCTGGAGATGCATGAAAACCAAATGAGACAGATCCGAAACAATCGATAATTGCAAAAAACTCGGACTGATCGTGTTATTCACCGTAAACAAAAGTAGGGCGATATCACACAGGCTGGTACTCGACTAAAGATGTACGCACATTGTTGCGAAACCGGTTTCCAACATGGAACCCACTGGTCGACGTACAGATTTGAATGCGGCTCAACTTAAAGCAAAATAGTAATCGTACAAGATTGAAAAGTGAAATATCTGGGAGAAGTAAACCAAATAAGAATCTCTGATCTAATGGGGGAGGGGCCGGGTTCTGTCGTTCAGCTTAAATAGCACAAAAATATCACAATATTACAAAACTCCACCACCAATTACCATCGTCAGTTTGTTAAAGCTACAACCTTGGAGATAATTGGCACAGTTGGAGCCCAAAAATTACGGGTTTCGTCTAAAGCTTGATGATAAAGGGGTATTGTAGGGGTGTCTTTTGTGAACGGTGTTTTACTTTT